GAGATAAAAAATAAGACTTCACCATTGGAGCCTTGGAATTCTAAAGAGAAATACTTCCTATCATCCTAAGGTTCATGTTTTATATTAGAAACCATGATCTAAGGTCTCATTTACTACTGAAGAAATGTTTTGGTTATTTTCTCCCTACCACTTATGATGATGTTGGGGTCAAGGTCTGTATGAGACAGTGAGTTGGACCTCTTCTTCATTCTCATCTTGCTTTATGGAAGCACAAGCTTGGGACTTAGAAATCCATATAGTACGCAGACTGTCAAGGGTGTTAACTTTCTATGGGTAACTGAACCACCCCAATCAGCATCATAAAGAAGGTGGAGAGACGCCCGGCAGCAGAACTCTTGAAAATATAGCATGACTGCATGGGTCCAGTGACTTGGTACTGCCTTGTAAGAATCTGTTCTTGGAAGAAGTACAGTCAGAATGCTCACTGTAAGCAAGGATGGCAAAAATTTTGTACTTTAGATAAATGGTCAAGAGGGACTAGTCCCTGGAGAAGGATATGAGGCTTGGTAAAGTGAGGGTCAGCAAGAAAGAGGAAGACCCCCAATGAGATAGATTGACAAGTGGCAGCAACAATGGGCCCAAACCTAACAGCTGTGAGATTGGTGCAGGACCGGGAAGTGTTTTGTTCTGATGTACATAGGGTTACAATGAGTCGAACTGACTTGACTGCACCTAACAGCAGCATGGCTTGGGGAGACTGTCTGTAGTATGCAAAAAGTTATTCCAAGTTACTTTGTCCCTGAAAGACAGACTAGGAAGAAGGAGTGACGAACTACTTCTGAATATTTAGTCACTGAAAACCCTATGAATAGCAGAGAAACACTGTCAGATATAGTGCTGGAAAATGAGCCCCTCAGGTTGGAAGGCACTCAAAATGCGACTGGGGAATAGCTGCCTCCTCAAAGTAGAGCTTACCATGATGACGCGAATGGAGTAAAGTCCATGGGAGTAAAGCCCATGGGAGAAAAGCCTGCGAGACCTTCATTTGCTGATAGGGCACAACTCAAAATAAAGATATACAGCTGTAAACATCCATTAATAATTGGAACATGGAATGTACAAAGTATGAATCTAGGAAAATTGGAAACTGTTAAAAATGAAATGGAACGCATAAACATCAATATCTTAGGCATTAGTGAGCTGAAATGGACTGATATTGGCCATTTTGAATCTGACAAGCACTTTTTACTATGCCAGGAATGACAAATTGAAGAGGAATGGTGTTGCATTCATTGTCAAAAAGAACATATCCAGGTCAGTCATGAGGTACAATGCTGTAAGTGATAGGATAATATTCATGCACCTACAGGGAAGACCAGTTAATACCACTATTATTCAATTTACACACCAACCATTAAAGCCAACAAGGATGAAATAGAAGAATTCTACCAACTTCTTCAATATGAAATTGATCAAACATGCAATCAAGATGTATTGATCATTATTGGTGATTGGAATGCAAAGGTTGGGAGCAAAGAGGAAGGATCAATATTTGGAAAATATGGTATTGGCGATAGAAATGATACTGGAGATCGCATGATAGAGTTCTGCAAAATCAATAATTTGGTCATTTCAAATACCTTCTTTAGACAGCATAAGAGACAACTATACACAGGGATGTCACCAGATAGAATAAATAGAAATCAAATTGACTACATCTGCAGAAAGAGACAATGGAAATGTTCCATATCATCAGTCAAAACAAGGCCAGGGGCATATTGTGGAACAGACCATCAATTGCTCGTACGCAAATTCAAACTGAATCTGAAGACAATGAAAACAAGTCCATGAGAGCCAAAATATGACCTTTAATGTATTCCACCTGAATTTAGAGATCATCTGAAGAGCAGATATGATACATTAAATACTAAAGACCGAAGACCAGAAGAGTTGTGGGATGACATCAAGAACATCATACAGGTAGAAAGCAAAAAGTCATTAAGAAGACACGAAAGAAGGAAAAGGCCAAAATAGATGTCAGAAGAGACACTGAAACTTGCCCTCCAACGTAGAGATGCTAAAGCAAATGGAAGAAATGGGGAGGTCCAAGATCTGAACAGAAAATTTCAAAGATAAAGCCAAATATTA